AGAGAGGGGGGGGGTAGGGTAACTAGGAGACAAAGGGAGAAGACGAGAACTAAGGGAACTTGATTAACGTGGTGCATGCAGAAATCAAGAGCGAGGAGCGGGAGCAGGTAACGAGAAATGGTTAGGCGTATGACGCTTTGGAAAACTCAGGCGCGAGGGATCTTGCCGCACATTTCTTGGATAGAAGGGTGGAGGTTAGCCTGCCCTCCAGGGGCGGGGTGTATAATCCGGTGATGGACTGGGTTGGGGTAGAACTGGTAGAGGACACGGTGTACCTGGTGGTGGAACTAGAATGGCGCGCAAGGGGTGAGTTTGGGGGCACCAATCTGGGCTTGCCAGGACGGGTGCGCGCGACAGGGTCCCTATACGTGTCGGATGCGGGATGGCGGACCTTCGGGGTGGCCTTGGCGGATGGCGGTGACCCCGTACGGATGTTTGACGGGCCGTGGCAGGTGACCTGGAGGGAAGGGTTTGCGTTTGCCAGACCGGACCGGGATGACGTAACGGCGACCGTCTGGGTGGTCGAAGTAGGAGCTAGTATCTTGCCTTATGAAAATGTGCGCATGGTCTTGCCACCCTTTTTGCTTGAGCGAATGGGAGGGGTAGAACGGGTTGAGATGGCAGTAATAGCCCTGGGTAGGTTGAGTTTTAGTAACATGACCATCTATCGAGAATACTATCGGGCCTTTCCGGAACTAGGGCCGTTCGAAACATTCTAGGAGCGAAACATTCGAGGTGCGAAACATTCGAGGAGCAGGAGTACGAGGTGCGAAACATTCTACTGGCCGTAGTGGGCACTAGACCTGGAATACCGACGGTAACCGAGGAAGTCGTGTGGGAGATAGCTAGGCGCGAGATAGGATGCGGGATGACGTATGTGGACGACGTCCGCCGGCTGTTCGAGGGGGTAGAAGAATAGGAGGGCAAAAAACAAAAGCAAGGGGGAAGGTAGATCAGCGGCATCGGGCTATAAGGGCCCTTGAAGAAAACTAAAAAGAGAGGTTCCTTTTCCCTTTTCCCTTTTTTTTTGTGCGTGGTGTATGCAGGGCGATATTCACCAACAATGACGGCAAGGCGCGTCCGTACGAACCGGCGGGACATGCACCCGCAACCGCCCATGGAAACCGGAGGCGGATGGGAAGTGTCACTCCCGGCAAGCTATATTGTTCGGGGGATAGATACGGAATGGCGGGCTGTGACCCTAGGACGGAATCAGGCTTTCATGTTAGTTGAGTGCCTATGGGGTGGCATGAGATTCGATAGGGGGCCAGGAGACGACTTATATACTGACCTCAGGGTGACAGGGACTCTATATTTCCCAGAAATCGGGGGGCAAATGCTGGGAGCTGGACTGGCCTTGGGGCATGGGTTGTTACTAGTGTTTCGGAGGGTAGTCAGGGTCCTGAGCCGGATAGGCCATGAGGTTAGGGGAAGACGGAATGTGGGATTAAGGACGCGAGTAGAAGTAAGGGGATGGCGAGACTTTAGGGCCCCTATGTCTGGACTGTGCTGGCAGGTGCCCCGGTTTATGGTTGATTTGGTTTTTGGGAGCCTCGCTTTGGCAATGGACCTGGTGAATTCAACCGTAATCTGGGAACGCTACTTCTCACCACAGGCCACGGGGATGTTCTATGACGTGGCAGTAAGGCACGGGCCGTTCTGGGGAAATCGGGCGCGAGAATTGCTGGAACTTCTTGAGATCCTGATATTCGGAACGCCCCGTCTGTCGTTTGAGGAATACAAGCCAATAATCATAAGGGAGATCGAGATGGGGGAGAACTATCTCGCAGGGGTGGCAAGACTATTTGAGGAACCGGATGAGAGGGAGAGACCGGAAGAGCCAGCATAGGAAAGATGCCGGGAAAGATGGTAGAAATAAGAACCAAAGGGAAAGAAAAATAGGTATAAAAGAACCGATTGGATGGCCGCGACCAGGTCTACCATGGGTTGAACACATGCCAGGAAAAGGGGGGGGGAGAGACGCCGTTGCAACCAAAGGTGCGACTAAGATACCTAGGATAAGCAAAGGGAAGAGCAAAAAGGGGTGAAAAATAGGCAATTCTAAAGGCTAAGATAATTATGTGCGATTGCCCAAAAAAAAAAAATTCCCTTCTTCCATATCACAGGGCTAGAGGAAGGAAAACATGGCCACGGGAGACGAGGCTAGAAGTCAATTGAGGGACGAAAATCAGGACGTAGAGGACGATGTAGATCAAGAAGAGCGGGACCTAGGGGATCGGGGCTCGGCAATGTCACTAGGAAACAGGGAGAGGAGCAAGGACGCTGTGCCCGGGGAAGATTCAGGAAAGAGCGGGGGAAGTAAACGGGGGACTCCGGGAACCAAGGAAGTCAGAGACAGGGAGAGTCCGGCACGTCAGCAGCCCGAGGGGGCAGAGCCGAAAAAGGTCAGGCTAACGGATGCACGGAGAAAGCTAGCCGAAGTAGAGAGACGCACGGCAGAATACAGGGCAAAACTATTGGAAGAGATCATGAACGATGCCAAGAAAAATGCCGTCGATGACAGGACGTTGGAAGAAGGGGAACTGGACCTCGGGCAAGGAAGCCAGGATGGGGATGCACAACACAGGAAGGATCGGCCCAGAGACACGAGGGACACCCCAACAAGGAAAGGGAAAGAAGGAATAAAATTCCTTAGGGAGGATAGAGATAGACCAGTCAATCCACTGCTATTGGACAGCGGAGCAAGCCGACCCTCGGTGTTGCCTGTAAGTGCAAGAGGATGCGAGGGACTCTAGAGCCTGAGGGAAAGGGTGCTAGGATGGTTTGACTCGGAAGGGATGGCAAAGCCAAAAGGGCAACTCGATTTTAGCAAGAAAGGCGCCGGTCCGAGTTTCGCGACAGGACCTGGGATGATTGAGGGAGGGCTTAGGAAGGTGGTGTCGTCCCTCACGCGTGCTCTAAGCAAAAACCAGGGATACTTGGCTGACGCCAAGAAAAAGTTGACTTTCGATGGCGGAAACATCACCAAGTTCCTAATCGATTTTGAAAATCTAGCAGCCTTACTAAGATGGACTGAGGAGGAAAAGATGGAGCGCCTAGGCCAGCATGTGTCACTCAACCTAGGTAGGGACATAATGACAATCGTCGCAACAAGCGGATCATGGAAAGAGGTCAGGGACGTGATCATAAGGAAGTATCTAGCAGAAGAAAAGATGCCACGGAGGCAGAACTGGCTACAATGCAGAGGAAGAATTTCGCAACATACGGCGACTTCCTAAGGGAGTTTACTCTCGTAGCACTACGAATCCCCAGAGTGACGGACCGAATAATGAGCAAGTACTTCCTAAAGCAGTTCACCGAGTTTGACAAAGATAAGATCTTGTCCGCCTACCAGCAGACAACAAAGTTCCTGAACACTAGAGACGTAGATTTCAGCACTATAACGGATATTGCAGAAAAGATGGTGGTGACTGACTCGTTGGCCCTTCTAAAAGAAGGAGAGATCATAGATTTGATAGGCAAGAATTGAGATAAAGTGAAGAAAGGAATCGAAAGCCTGCACGAGCAGGTCCACAGGGTTGACAGCAAGATAGAGAGAGTAGAGAATGCCTTACTGGTGATGCAAGCCCAGGTCTCGCAAACGCAAGCAGTACGACCCCCCCTCCCACCACAAGAGGCAATCGTACCCCCAGGGATAACCAACCGCGGTAATAATCGAAAGGACCCGGCCAATAAGCAGTGCAAGTAATGCACGATAGTCGAGCATTTTGTCCGCATGTGTCCCAGGCTTAACCAGGATATCATCCTTAAACGGTGCCTTAGAACTTTGCGCGGGGAAATCCAGGGGCCACGCGGGGAAAGGGTAAACTGGAACTCGCCGGGAGGGATGCGAAGAGCAGTAATCGCACTTAACAACCTGGACGCAGTCGCGGTTGAGGCCGAAACAGTAGAGGAACTTACCTGGGGATAGGCACCCGGGCGAGGGCACCAGGTTAACTTCATCACCGAGAGTGATGACCGCGACGGGGTTAATGTGACCACCAGACAACGGGGTGCTGCAAAGAAGGTAATTCAGGACGCGGTCATGGAAGACGCGCAGGAAGGGTCGAATCCACCAGCAGAATCGGACCACGACAAAGTTTACGGCAAGCCTAGGGAGGAGGCGCCCGTAGACAAAGTAACATCTGCAAAGAAGAAATTCAGGTACCAGATCCCTATCCTTGCCGATCTTGAGATAGACCACACTCTTAGCCAGTTGCTAGTGACCATGGTATCGGTTGCTTTCCAGACCATGTTGCAGGCTAGTCCTAGACTACTAAAGGGCCTAAGACAGCTGCTAACAAGGCAAAGGGTGGAAGTAGCGGAGGAACCGGGTGAACGCGAAGAAGGCAAGGAACAGGAGCCACCGCGGGAAGTGGCAAACCTTCAAAGGGCCCTCGGGGATCTGAAAGATCTAGAGAAGGCCTTCACAGACATCCGACTAAGTCTGCCAGACCGGGAAGGTGGAGAAGTCATGAGGGCACCGCCTGGCACGAAACTGAGTTTCCATGCGCTACCGGTAGGGAAACCGAAAGTCCAGATTGGCACCCACCGTACGGATACACTCGTAGATGGCAGGGCAGAAATCACACTCATTCGCAAGGACTTTGCAACAATTGCTGGGTGCCCAATCATCCGGGAGGTCACGGGGAGTGTCCGGGGAGCAAGTGGGGAAATCCCCTTTTCCGACTATGTTACCAAGTGCGCAGTTAAAACCGAGGTTAGAGAGTCTATATGGTCGTTCCAACGAATGACCGTCATGGACGAAATGGACCATGACGTGATCCTCGGGCGCCCGTGGTGTGCGAACGTAGAGATGATCGGGATGCATCGGCACGACGACACCTACATGGTAGACATAGAGGACCCGGTGTCGGAGTGCGCGGTGTCCCGACCCTCCTCCGTGTGCCAAGTCCCTATCTGGTACCTGGGCTATAGTATGATGTGGACCAGTCCCAGTGGCGTTGCCTTCAGCAAAAGGGGTGCGCCACAGGACTTCCATTGGTCCACGCAGGCTCGGCGCCCTGCTGTACAGCACAACCGGCCTGTGACAGTGGTAGCCGCCAGGTTCACCCTGGGACGCGGAAGTGGGAAGGCAGGCTCAGCCTTTTCAACTGCACGCCGAGCGTCCCTCTAGTGAGTTATGGGTTAGGTGTGTGAGAAATAATCGCTGTCGGAAAAGGAAAAACTGAACAAAATAAATAAAATGAAAATAAAGATATAAAAGAGAAAAAGAAAACAGGAAGCCTCATCAACACGTGGATCAGAGCTGTCGCTTTGGTTCGGAATAACCTAGCGGCGGTTGTTTACTGTATCGTCTGAGTTTTCTTTTTCCCTTGTTATTATTTTGAACACTAATTTTATCATTACTAACTTTTGATCTTTCAGATACAGCTAGGGAGGCCAACGACTCGGGTTTCGAGTCTAGGCAGTGGTGTTGCGGTTCAGACGGACTTAACCCTTGGAATATCACATGTACCTGCCCTGCGCATCTGAGTTCCGCGCAGTAGGGCCCTGGTAGTTGTATTGGAAGCCAGGTACAATGGGGTCTGCGTGGACTTGTACGGCTATTTAGGCGGAGCAGCAGCGCGGGGAAGGGAAAAATTTAAATCGCCACCCTTTTCCTTTTATGATTATTATTATCATTATTATTATTATTGTTTTACCGGTTTTGGGACGCAGTTTCCCCTTTTGTTTTCGGTCACTTCGCGGAAAACCCAACGGTTCGAATTCGAACCCGTTTAATTTAGTGGCCAGGTGGGCTGACTTTTTGCTGCTATTCCTCAATTGTCACACTCGGCAAAGCGCTGCGCGGTAGGACCCCAAAAGGAGGGCGACCCGCGGCCGCATCGGTAGGAGGCCTATCACCCCCCCCCTCTGGGAAGGGTCATAAGCCCCCTCCTTACCATCAGACGCGGACACCCGACAGAGGTAGATCGACGAGCACGTTTTAAGGTGAAAAGTGCATCGTCGGGGTCCCGTTATGGGATCGCTGATTTCTTTACGAAAGTTGATTCTGCAGGATTAGGGGTTGGTAGTAAACTGAGAGTCACCCTGCGGGTGACTGTTGAGTTTCAGACTCGGATGAATTTTAAGAGAAGTAAAATATACCTTTTTTTTTATTTTGTGCCTTTGAAAGGACATTATTAAGACTCCCCGTTTTGTACACAGGAAAGCGTGGTCTCTCTGAGTCCTATAAGAAGAAGGTTACCCGTGGATCTCTCAGTAGGTTCGTTGGGGCTATCGCACTGGAAGGAGAGATAGTGTCAGGGCGTTGAAATTATCGGCTTTCGATAGACTGCGCTCTAATAGCCTGTCCTCCTCAGGTGCAGTGCGAGGGCTGAAGAGTTTTAGTACTCGCACCGGTTATTGCAAGGAAGGTAGCTATGGCGTTACATGGGTACACGCCCGTGTACTGGTATCACCAGGCCCGTTGGAAACCCATGTCTGGGGAAGGGCCTTGGATCACAGTTATACTCAACCATGACGGAGGGGACGAGTTGAGGCTGAAGATTAACGTGGAAGGGGCTAAGGAGGAGGAGATGCGGAATGACTCAAAACTGCAGGCCGCTATTACTGAGGCGAAGGACCGGGCGGAGCGGCGCTGCAGAAGAGATGGGGTCATAGCAAGAATGCAAGTAACGGTCTCATATCATGAGACCGAGACCTCGATGCACACGGCGGATTGGGAGCAGGCCCACTTGGAACGGGACTCGGGTGGGGAGAGCGAGATGAGCGAGACGGAGGACCGGGAGACGGACCTCCGGTCCTGGATCAGGCCAGGCGAGGTCCAGAGGCACCACAGAGCCGCAAAACCGGTGGAAGAGGGACCTGAGGCCAGCTCTCAACAACTGACGCCCAGAGCCCGTGGAGTGGGTAAGAGGCCGAACAAGGGGGAAAGGCAGGCCTAAGAGATCGCGCGCTCTCGGGAACAGGACGGAACTCAAAAGAGAGATGCAAGTGCAGTGGAACAGGGTATGCTCGGGTACTCGTCAGACACGTGGTGCGGTCTAGGTGAGAGAACGGGGAGAACGCCCGACACGCGCGTGGCAGTTTTGTAGAGCGGAACGGAAGGGTCAACGACAGTTGGAGAAGAAAGAAATGAGAACTGGATGTGTGTGCAAGGATGCTGACGTCAGTTGAACTGCAATGTGCTACTAGTCAGTGAGGGAAGGACACACTAAGGCAGAGAGTTCACTGCCACGTTGGATAGGGGAGAAACAGAACAGAGGGAAAAGATGGGTGTAAAAGCAGGAGGGCACCAAGGTCAGAGAGAAAGAGGGAACAGTGAAAGCAGGCCGTACTAGTAGAGGTCAAGGTTTTTGTCGCTTGCGGGATGTGTGGGCTACACGTGGCGTAACCAGGTGAGTGAAGAAAAAGGGTCAACGGAGAGAGAGAGGCAAAAATGGGATGCGTGTGTAGGTGGGAGAAGTTGACGTCAACCCAGCTTCAGCGCGTGAAGACTCGGCGTGAGAAGGGGCGTGCATGCATGGAGGGCAGATGGGTGCTTCTCGAGTTGGAGTAGAGAGAGGGGCAATGAGTGCAAAATGGTGATCGACGTCATTCTCCTAGCCCGGAGTAGCGAGAGCTCCGTCTTCTCAGAGTCTCGAACTGCTATTTTAGGATAATTCAAGAACTGCCAAGGAAAGCATGTGACGATCAGCGCTCCCTTTATGGACAGTTTCCCCCGTGACGTCGCGGAGACAGGTTCCTCATACTTAACGGGCTGCTGTCAAAGCTGACAAGGGAGGCTCAACACACCTACTTTGGTCGGAGCATGCACGATATGTTTAGTCAAGAACTAGTTGCTGAGCTAGTTGTGAGGGGGTAGACAAGAAAGAGCCTGAGCAAGGACGCTTTCTTTCTTTTTCCTTCTTCAGGGCAATGGTGTCGGAGGTCATCGACGTTTCCTTTCCCCGTGACTGCCTTGAACGAGATCTCAGATAAGACGTTGACCATTACAAAATAATCCCCTTTCTTTTCGTTGATTCTAATTCTCTTATTTGTTTTGGCTAATTAGAATGGTTGATCGATATTAATTGGTCATGTTGCATCCTGGCAAGGGTTAAGTCTCGATAGACCATCTAAATGGGTGAATAAGGGAATAGCCCCGACTCATAACAATGGTTCGAAGCCTGAAGGCTCAGGAGGGAATCCAGTGTACAACGCAGGAATAGCTAATGATTAGCAAGGCTAGGGTTGTTAAATATTTTTGGCGTCTGGCAAGACATTACGCTTGTCTATTGGATGTACCTTTATTTTTTTTGTGAGTACCAGCATAGTGTGAATGTACTGTGCAGTTGCTTCGCGTGAATACGTTTGAGTGACAGTGCCTCGTGGCCAAGTCTTGTAACGGTACGGTGAGATCATTTCGTGTGACTATGCTGCGTGACAATGCCGTGAAGCTATTTCGTGTGATGGCACGATGAGATTACCTTGAGTGACTGCATTGTGAGACAGTGTTGTATGGCCGTATCTTGTAATGGCATTGTGTGATTGTTTCTTGTGACTGTACTGGGGCGAGTTTGCGTTGGCTTGCGTACGCTCACCTGATTGAGTATCTTGCCATAGTGGTAAGAATTTCTAATTAAGAATCTCGTCTGTAAATCTGTGAGTGTCCGTGTGAGAAGGCTGAATGCTCTGTAAATCAGATGACCACCCTAGCCATTCGGAACACACAGGGAGTCACGCCAACCTATTGAAGTTAGACCCGGGAAGACAAGACCACGAGTAATTGCTTTCTCAAGTATATGAGGCTCCTACTCTACTTGTAATGAAGTCGAGTAATGAGTGGTAGGGGAAGAAAACGCCAACTGAGGAGGGTAGCCTACTTGATTGCAAAGTTTTTGCTTGATGAGGACTAGCTCCCTGTTCGCTCAGTGGATGGAATACTAATCCTGGAAATAGATAGACAGGGAAGTAAGGCCAGCGAAAAGTAACAATCCCTCTAGAATAGGGGTGTTAGTTCAAGTGCATGCAATCCCTTGTGCTGGGTTACTTGAAAGGTGTCAGGACCCAGAGCAAATGCGTCTTCTCGATGTTATAACGATGTCTTGTAAGAACAGAATGTTATGGAAGTGTGATTGTTGACGGGGGACGAAAGTCGGAACACGCTAGAAGGGGGTTCCTTTGCACCATTTGGGAACTCACTTTTTACCTGAGGACGAATCTTCACAAAGCAGAGTGGGTATTGAACTGTTGTAGTGATACCCGGAATAGGTGAAGGTGGGAGGTTGTCGAGCAAACCTGGGACTCGTCACTCTGAACTCTATTTGATGGGCAGAGTAAAACCCTTTTGAGAACTCTAAACTCTATTTGACGGGCACAGTAAAGCCCTTTTGAGAACTTTGAACTCTATTTGATGGGCACACCTTTTGAGCCCCTGGTGGGCTCAGACAGGCATTCTACGAAAGACGTGTCAGGCTTTTCTGGGAAAGCTCCATATCAACCTGGGTCAGACCTGTCCGACAGTCCTTGAGTCTGAGTGAACGCACTTCCTCAAGCTATTCTGTTGAGTCATGATCAACCCTCAACCTAGCGTATTAGAACAGATGTAAGTGAGTCTTATTTTCGGAGGAACAATGGCTGGTGGGACTCAAAACAGACCTCACACTCTTGTGAATAAGCTCAGGGCGGTCGATCGATGATCGGACCCCCAAAAGCAGAGTGTCCTGTCCCGAATTCAGATGAGGCCACGTCGTTGAGTGCAGCACGAAGGAACCCGTATTAAGGGCCAGTTCTCGAAATGGACTCCAGTCAGGTAATGGTGCCATACCCAATCTCACTCAGATGAATTTCTGGTCTGGGCAGGAGTGTCGGACAAGAGGGGACGAGGGTGCTTTGAGAACTGTGCCAGAGACGCCCCCTTTAGCCATTGATTGGACCACAATGACATTGTACAGACTCTAAGAAGTTCATGAATCAACTTTTTGTAAGCTTCAGGACTTGTTTTCTCCAGAAAAACTCCATATCAACATGGGCCAGACCCGTCCGACAGTCCTTGAGTCTGAGTGAACGCACTTCTCCAATCTATTATGTCGAGTCCCGATCAACCCTCAACCTAGTGTATCAGAATAAATGTAAGTGAGTCTTGTTTTCGGAGCAACAGTGGCTGGTGGGACTCAAAACAGACCTAGCACTCTCGTGAATAAGCTCAGGGCGGTCGATCGATGATCGGACCCCCAAAAGCAGAGTGTCTTGTCCCGAATTCA